CACTGTTCGAAACTCTGTATTTAAACAAGATAAAAACATATGCTTCAATTTTTTTACAGTCCCACGTTTCTGTCCTTAGTATTTAAAATGAGGTCACCTTCCCACTGATTCCTGGTCATATTATCTGCAAATGTTTGAGGCTTTCAAGTCCAAGAAACGGGTGGTGGGGGGTGGGCTATTTATAGAGGCGTGAGGACACGAAAACACTTTGAGCAGTTTTTCTGGAATGCTTGAATGTCGTGAAGAACGTTCTACATCTTATTCATAGTGGTGCTCACTGTCCACCTCGCCACACATTTTACAATTGGAAGCCATCTTCTTGTGGACTTTGTGACACGCATATTTTAAAATTCCTTATTTGAAAACACAAAACTCTTTGAAAACACACTTATATTAGAGCTTAGAAGAGGAAATACAGTTGTATCATATTTAAAATTCTAGAATTTTAGACGTAATCTTTTATAATATTAACAATTTATTTTTTTTAAAAAGAGTCTTGATTTTACATGACTATTTTCTGAAACGGTGAGACCTGATTCTATTGAATTAGACACGTGACACTATGTGTCGAGATAAGTGTCATTGATTTAGTTACTTTGAGTCAAAGAACGTAAAGGCACGGCGATTTTTAGCACAGGTTAAGTAGAATGTTTCCTGTAGAGAGTTGGAGCTTGAAATCAGTAATGTATCCTGTAGAAAGTAGGAGTTTTAAATCAGTAATGTATTCTGTAGAGAGTAGGATCTTGAAATCAGTAATGTATCCTGTAGAGAGTAGGAGCTTGAAATCAGTAATGTATCCTGTAGAGAGTAGGAGCTTGAAATCAGTAATGTATCCTGTAGAGAGTAGGAGCTTGAAATCAGTTATGTCTCCTATAGAAAATACGAGTTTTAAAACACATTCACGTTTCCACCATACAGTGAGTGACAAACCGCGCGTGTCGCACAGGATGTAGACACAAACAAGTAAAAACGAACTGAGATTACATGTGGTTATGTAGTAGTGGGTTTTAACATCCTTGTTATTCAGCATATGGGAGTTCGTGTTGTTATACAATCGTAGGACTAACCTTAATGAATATTATCACTCAAAACTGTAAAAATCCATGTTGTTATACAGCTTTAGGACTAACAACTGACTGTTGTAAATATCGCAGTGTTTTGAAACGGAACTGTTGTCGTTGCACCGTTGAAGTCCAATTAGTACCAAAATCCGAACTCTTATTTGGCACCACCTGGTGTCAATAGATTAAAACATAGTGTTTCTGTCATCTTCTGAAAGGCTAATTAGTTCTTAAAGGGAATTATATAACAATATACGATATTTAGCATAGTTGTTTGTTTGTAATTAAGCTCAAAGCTACAGAATGGGCTATCCGTGCTCTGCCCACCACGGGTATCGAAACCCGAAATTTAGCGTTGTAAGTCCGCAGACATACCGCTGTGCCACTGGGGGGGGGGGGCATTTAGCATAAACCAGTTAGAATACTGGTTTTTATGTCGGGTTCAATTAGAGCTGTTTCCGGTTGCAAAGTTGCCTTGCTTGTTAACGCCTCGTTAACATCAGGGGTTTAGTTGAATTGTTTGTCTGTCTGAAAACGTATCTCTATTCAAGAAAATCTATTGTGCATAAGAAACGTCGTAAGTTAAAGATAAACTGAAACGTAGGAGATAGAATAAAAACGAATCGACACTGTTTTAATCCTCCAAATTAAAATCGTCAAAGTTTTTCCGCGAAAGTTGATGCCTTTACTGTATGGTACCTGACAGGTTGGTTGGATTCACTTACGTATAAACTTGACTTTTCTAAGAGTTTCTTATCTAATTAAATGTCCGTGTTAGACCGAGCAATGGTTCAATAAGAACCGTATCATATGATAATAGACCCGGATTCTCCCAAGACTCTCCGACACTATTGCAAGCTGTCTGTTAATTCTTAATTGCGGAGGACATCAAGCAGATATGATGACAGTTTTCTTTGTGTTTGGTTAGCTGTCAGCTCGTGCGCGATGTTAACAAAGCTGATGTAGATGTCTTAAATACAGTGACTGTGTTGAACAAGTTCACGGCTGGGTAGGGGCTTAAATCAGCTAAGAACATTTTGTAAAGCAGGCAAGGAGCTGTAAAACGTGGAGAGCATCCGTGTGAATTTTCACATTAAAATTCACACGGATGTTCTCCACGTTTTACAGCTCCTTGCCTGCTTTACAAAGTGTCGTTATAACTGTTCCACATGAACAGTATTTAAAGCATTTTTTTTTCTGACAGAAGCATACGTTTTCTTATTCCATCATGTGACTAATACTTTTTTACAATACAACATTTTATGGAAATGTTTTAATTGAAGTCTAAAGAGATGATAATTAGGTATTGGTGGTGAAGTTCAGAAAGTTTATAGATAACAATATAGTATTACGACCGGGCGTGGCTTAGTGTTTTCGTTCCTAAACTGTGAATCAGGTATTTCATTGTTCACTTCCATTTTCCTTGAAAATGCGCTCCGACCTTTGGGCTAGTGGCGGTCAAATCTCATTATTCATCAGACAAGAGATGGCGGTGGGTGCTGTTTACTAATTTCCCTCCCTCTACTATATCAGAACGACTATGCATACATAGTCCTTTCGTAGCTTTGCCCGAAAATTCTACATAGCTCTCTCGGTTAACGTTAAGATACGTCACAATATGGCTATGCTAAAGTAAGGCCAGAGTTTGGGACACAGAAAATATACTTCAAACGAATTACTCCCATTTGGACGTCTCGTGGCGAAGTTGGTTATTTGTTCTCAGCTTCGACAGCTGATTGGATAGTAGGAACCTGGTGAATACCAGTTATTAGCGAGATATGTTTTTACTTGACTGTGTGATCCTGATAAGTAATGTAACCGAAAGATTGATTGATTTATGGTAAAACACTGCTTACGATATCTGCAGGAGACCGAACACGTTCTCCTATAAACAACTGTGGGATTATCATAAATATCCAGTAATTTTTACAACATCTGTTCTTGGAAAAAAACTCACTTGCTTTCGTACGGTATTAAGAGATCGACTGAAAACAGAGTTTGTTAGTTTTGTTTGTCTTTGAATTTCGCGCAAAGCTGCAAGAGAGCTATCTGCACTAGTCGTCCCTAATTTAGCAGTGAAAGGCTAGAGGGAAGGCAGCTAGT